CATAAGGTGACCCTTGGACCAAAAGCAATTGTCTTACCTCTACATAGCAAGAAAAAAAAAAGATTAATGCAGACTCAGCAAAATCTTGTTTACAGGTTATGAGTATGTTAAGGGAATAGGCTGCATCTATATATTTTAAATAAATAAATATGGAATCATTCAAAGGTCAAATAGATAGCTGAAGACACCACTTGATGGGGTACTATTTGCTACTCTTGGTGAAATATAATCTAAGAAATGTATATGTATATGAACATATACATATGCATATACATTGTATATGAACTTAGGTTGGTGTGGTTTTGATCATTCAGAAAATGTAAGGGAGTTCCTGTGGAAGACTAAAGAAAGGCTCTCTGCCACAGCCATCTCTGCTAGCCCAAGATCAGAAGTACTGTACTTTTCATTTGCAACATTATGCACAGGACTAATACTAAGGGCAATCTAAACTTTTTAATCAACATTTTCTTCTTGTGCCTTTCTCTTTGTGTGACCTGCTATTAGAGGAGCTGCCATTGCCCTTGGAAGAGCCTCCCTTCCAAGATTCAGAGGCCCCAACTTTATTGGGCTTCAGGAAGGCCATAAAGCACAGCTGTTTCTTCAGGCATTAAGGCCAAGGCATTAGTGGATCCTGGTGTCTGTTGGTGCTGGAGCTTTTTTAAGGTGCCTCAGTTATAGTAGGATTGAATTCTGTATTATTTTATTTTTATATTATATGTTTTAATGTATTGTTTGTTAATATCCCGCAGTTACTTCTTTTAAAATGGAAAAATAAATTGTTCAAATAAGTTAATGAATGTCCTCAATATTCTCAAAACTTCTCTTATAAAAATGTACTATAATTATATGGGGCTTCCCTCTCTGGTCCAACATCTGTTATACCTTTGTGGTAAATTCTATCCATTATACTCACCAACATTCCAATAAGTTCTCATTATGGTGATTTTTTTTCTCACTTTGTCTTGTATCACTGATCACACCTCAAAGTTTGAAGTACTACCCATTTGTGCACAGTCTAGCTTGATCTACAGTAAAGAAGTGGAACATTTTGCATTTCTGTTGCAGACCATGGAAAGATCTTGCTCTTTAGTCCATTAGTCCACTGCACACTTTCTAAGGGTTTCACGAACTGATATTAAAATATTAGTGGTTATATCTTTCAACATTAATAGAACTTTGTGAAGAGATCTTTTTTCTATAGTAGAATATTCTATAGCCAAAGCAATTTCAAAAGATATGCACCAGTAAATTCTCAGACTGAAAAAGAATCTTATTTGAAGTTCACTTAAAAGGGCAATTATTCTTGATGCGATACTGTAATTGAATTGGTAATATAATGGAAGGCCAAATTGCTTTGCAAAGTAATATGGGTGGACTCATACATAAGTTAAATTGAGGAAATATGTGAGGTCAACTATTGTTCCTATTGTATAAATCAGCTAATTTCCCTGTTGGGGCTATTTCTCAAGAGATATTTTGGTTTTTTGCAACTGTTCTACAAATAGAATACTTAAATAGTATAGAATTAGCATTATTTATTTTAGATTGCAATCATAATGTTGAAGTTTTCCCCATTTTTTTAAACAAAAATTACATTAAAGAGCATAACTTTTTTCTGGAATATAAGTTTCCTACATTCATGGAGATTATTGTGTTAAAATGTGGGAGGACGTTGAAAAATCTTAAATTGCACTTTTATGTACAACAGCATCATATTCTGCTACATTCTACCATATTTTATGTAATATTTCAGATCAGCTGTGTAAAATTTTATATTGCTTATAACCCTATAAAACCTGTGTCCTTACTTTGTACGGGATTCTGGCCAGTCTTGTACTTAGTTAATCTAAGTTAACAGTCCAACATTTTAGGATTTATGTTATCTTCAGTGGTGTGTTTTTGAACTGTATGTAATTCTGAAATATTATAACCTACAATGTTGTCACATCCATGTCTTGTTAATAAAGAGATCAACATTATGTAAACAGTGTACTGTGTCACATATTGTACATTTTACTGTCTTTTTTGGAAGCTTTAAATTTAGTAACCAATAGCATCCCCTTCAGGAGCAGCAATTTCAGCCAAGTGTTCTGCTGATCATTCCTGCAGATAATTTGACAAGTTGTCTCTAGCGAACAGCTTCAACTCACATTTTGGGTCTGTCTTGTTTGAACTGTCTTCAAATCATGCCATAACATTTCAGTGGAGGAAAGATCAGGATTTTGTCTCAGTCATTCCAAAATGTGATTTTTTCCCCCAGCCATTGTTTTGTTGCATGACCCATACTACTTTAATAGCTCACAGATATTCTGCATTCTCCTGTAAAATTTGCTGGTACAATTCAGAATCCACTGTTCCTGATCCTAAAGCTGCAAAGTATCTCCAAACTATGATACTCTCACTAACTTGGTTCATGGTTGGAATCATTAGGTTCTTTCCTTTGAATTCTGTGTTTCTCATTAATTGTTCAATGGAAGAGTAGCCTCAATTTATTTGCTATTACCCTGACCTTCTCAGCAACTTCCTGAAGAATTACACACTTTGCTCTTAGAGTGAATTTTGCCATATGACTGTTCTTGCAAACAGTTTACAATAATGTTTCACTTTCTACATTTCTATATATCTGACCATGGATTGCTGGAGGGTAAAATATGGTGTAGTGATTAAGGTGCGGAACATACCAGAGAAACTCAAATTCAAATCCACCATCAGCCATGAAATTTCATATGCCGACTTTGGCTCAGTCACTCTCAGCCCAATCTACCTCACCAGGTTGTTCTTATGAGGAAAATTGTGTATGCTATCTTGAATTCCTGAACAAATGTATGACATGAGTAAATAATTTAAATGGCAATAATTTTGTAGCATCTATCATCCCGATAACCAATAATTCTTTTTCTGAATTTGGTAGAGATTTTGATCAAGGCATGATACATTTCCATAAGACCTTTCAAACCCAGACCTGATTGTTATCGCTTTGATTGAATATCTGAGTCAATTTAGTTCCTTAGAAGAGCTGAAAATTTATTTCATTAACTGCCTCAAACAAATGACTCTGGGTGCTTTACGACAATGTAAAGACCAGCCCAAACCCCCTCTTATTACCTAAAAATCATATACATACTTGCATAGATATACAAATGCAAAGGTGATCATCTACAACCAACCAAGTGAAATTGAGTATTTGATGAAATAATTTCTCAAAATATGAGAAAAGGTTTTCACATGCTTTTTCCAATCAAAGTATTATTAGCTGAGAATAATAATAATAATAAAGTTGGAAGGGACTTTGGAGGTCTTCTAGTCCAACCCCCTGCTCAGGCAGGAAACCCTATATGATTCCAGACAAATTGTTGTCCAATCTCTTCTTAAAAACTTCCAGTGTTGGAGCATTCACAATTTCTGGAGGCAAATTGTTCCACTGATTAATTGTTCTAACAGTCAGGAAATTTACCTTAGTTCCAGGTTGCTTCTTTCCTTGGTTAGTTTCCACCCATTGCTTCTTGTCCTGCCTTCAGGTGCCTTGGAGAATAGCTTGACTCCCTCTTCTTTGTGGCAGCCCCTGAGATATTGGAACACTGCTATCATGTCCCCCCTCGTCCTTCTTTTCATTAAACTAGACATACCCAATTCCAGCAACCATTCTTTATATGTTTTAGCCTCCAGTACCTTGATCATTTTTGTTGCTCTTCTCTGCACTCTTTCTAGAGTCTCAATATCTTTTTTACATCGTGACTGAAATGTATTCAAAATAAGACATGACACAATAATGTTGCTTCATGGGTTTGTTCAACATCTATTTATTAAGACTTCATAAACTCTGATCCTATTTCCGGTTCTTGTGCTGCAGGAATATGGATTGTTCTAAACAGTTCATAAACATTCCTTATTCTTTAGCCTAAACATGAGTTTTCTGCTGCAAGCTGAAGATATATGGAGGAGATACCTTACAATATTCTCAAAGTCTATGATCAGGCAAGTCATTGTTTTCAATACTGGTTTGGGGCATTTAAACTGATTGGACTTTAAGTCACAACAGTTTTAACTATACTAAGTATTTTAAGTTTTAAGGTGTCATAAAACAGCTGGGTTTTTAATTCATTTATTTTTAATTACAGCTTTGTTTTTATCTGAGTTGTATTATTATTATTATTAGCTAGCAATGAGAACTATCCTTAAACAGAAAATTGTAAAAGAAGTGGAGATATAAGCTTCTCAAGGATCCCAGTCATTCTTATATTTCACAGGTAAATACTCTATCCATTTTGAGTTTAAAATGTAGTAATGTATAACCTGAAGAGCCTATTTCTTGTATAAGGAAAATTGTGGCAAGTAATAGAACAAATACCTTTATTACTATAAGATGATATAAAACTATTTTTACTGGGTACTTTGACCAAAATCCATAATAGTTTTTAAATTCAAATCTGTTGAGTGCAATAACAAGTTCTTTAAGATGATATAAAACTATTTTTTACTGGGTACTTTGACCAAAATCCATAATAGTTTTTAAATTCAAATCTGTTGAGTGCAATAACAAGTTCTTTAAAAAAAAATCTTTGCAACCTAGAAAAAGAAGCTGTAAGGTTTTGATTGATTGATTGATTGATTGATTATATTTATTTATTATATTTATACCCCGCCCTTTTCTTGGAAGTTGCATTAATTTTATCAAAATCTTCATTATATAGCTCCATAAATTCAACTTAGGATAGTTTTACTCAGTCATAAATATACATACCAAAATTAAATATCAAAACAAAAACACTTTTAAGAAAAAAAAATCTAGTTTATTGCACTTATCTGAAGCTCATTGAGAAAAAATCACAAGTTTATGGAAGTGAAACTATGATGGAAAACATTTCAGACTGTTAGAAGATACAAAAGAACTCATTGGGCTTAGAAGAGCTGTCAACACCAATTTATGAATCAAGCCAATAACACTATTATGCACCATATAAACATCTAGCAAACTAAGCAATTAATGAAAGAAGGGCGCATTTTTAACAGTGTTATTGTGTTTATATACATGCAAACATTCATACATATTTTTGGCTGCACACAAATGCAAGTATGTCATTTTTTTCATTATTAGAATATGAGTATTCGGCCAGAAGTGCATCATAATGCCACTCCATTTGCTCAAAAATTCTAGACTTGAAGAGAAGTGATGGCACTGGAATCCCAGCTGCCAAAGGGCTTCCAAAGAAATATGCCAATTGAACTAGAGATAGATGGACAGCTAGTTGGTTACAAAAACCCTGAGGCAGACTCAAATAAATGAGATCTCAGAACAAAACAAATGTAGCCACTTGGTCATCCCAAAATAAAAGAATCAACCAGGAACAGAGCATTAATCATATAAGTGCTGCTGCTGCTAATAAGTATGTCTATGGTGCCAAAATTAGTTCTTATGCAAAAAATCCATTGATACAGGGTTGTATCAGGCAGCTTTAGAAGAAAGAAAAAAATCCCATTATCTCCACCCAGGTTCATCCAGTATTACTTAAGTTAGCTCATTTGCAGATTCAATAATAATTGCTTCAAATATTCAGGTCTCAAATAAATAAATATATATATATATTAAAAAGCACTATAAACGAAAACTATTGGGATAATATTTTGTCTTACAGTGTTCTTAAGAAATTTAGTAATTATGATACATAAGCTGCAGTGATCAGTAAATTATACATTTAAGCATCTCTGCTGTAAACATTTTAATATAAGACATTGCAAGATTTAGCTAATGTAGCTAAAATTTCCTATTATAAAGGCAAATCCTGGTGAGTACCACAACCTTTCTTTTGGGATAAGCTTCTTTAGTACTATATTTAGAATTGATTATAAATTATGGTAAAAAGGAAATACAGAATCTACTATGAACACAGGCGTAATTCTGTCAGGCTAAATATGGTACTGAATCTCACCCACAGAGCCACCCCCATTTTATGGAAATGACTTATAATATTGTGTTTAGCTCTCATAGGCAATTGTGGAGCAAAAGCCTAAATTGTTTGGAAAAACATATAAGGAAATCTCCCCTTACCAGAAGCCCTCCAAGGTACCTTTTAACCAAAATGTCCACAATTCTCATTCAACATGTTAACATGGCTGGGAAATTGGACAGTTATAATCTCAATTCACAAGAGACTCAAAGTTAGAGAAGAATAAGGGGAACTAATGCTTTTATCCCAGTTAATCAGAGTGAAAATTCAGTAGAGCTCTGAAAGTTATAACGAAACTTTAATCTGAGCATCAAATTGTGTAGCTTTCCACTGAAAAAAAATTACAGTATTTTATTCCTTTCTATTAAAGGCATACCCCCTTTTTTCCTAAGAGATTAATGTCCAAAATAAAAACTAAATAGTGTTTTTTCAGCAGTTGAGAAATAGGTAATATAACAGAAATTCTTTCTACATAGTACAGACATTAGCTTGCATGCTGCAGCAAATTCATTTTGCTGTTAATGAGGTTAAATTGATACATTATAGTCAAAGTACAACTTCTAGAATAAAGACAAGTTCACAATTTCTTTAAGCGCATTGCCTGCCTCACCTGAGATATACTGAACAAGACGTTTTACTAAACAATTTAAGGACTACTATATAAATTAGTCTCCTATATCTCAAAAAGATAATGTTATAAAATGTTTGTGGCTTCAAAAGCTTGGCATTTCCCAAGTGACAGGATTCCCAAGGATGTGTTCTTACTTATTTACTGTTATTCACTTTATATCACTTCCCACTCATCCTCAAAACCATCAGAGTAAAACGATATAGAAGCATCACTGTGTTTCTGCATGTTATGAGAATGCTGGAATGTCTTTGTGAGGCGCTGAATGAGATTTCCTGAAGAACTAATTGCCCATAGTTCATCTAGAGGGGTAACTGGGAAACAATAACAGCAAATTAGTTTTAGTATATAATAAGAACCAATAACTCAAGAAATCTAATTTACCTCCAACTAGAAAAAATTAAGGCTGAATTATACTTAAGAATATGGCCATTGAAATCAATGGGATTTGAGGTCAGCATTAACTTTTCTCATTGATTTAATGCCTTTGCAATAACAACCATAACAATGGAGTACTGCTTGGATACCATTGGCACTGAAAAAATCCCCACCAGTCAATTACAAAAGGCAGTTGCTTTACTTGGAACAGCTTACATTCTGTGATGCTACCTTTAATACCAGTAAACAACATTTGACTATCCCAGGTCCTTGGGAAGGATTGGAAAGGTGGATAAAAATGCCAAACTCAGTCTAAAAATCAGGCTGAGTGTGCAACCAACCAATAATAATATATTAAACGTGTAAACTAAGTTTGGAGAAACAAACATTTTCTTTCCAATTTTGCTTAAATCAAAAAATAAACAGAAAACAGAAAAAGTCCAATTATTCAGTTGAAAGTAGTTGTTAGAATAGAATTTGCTTGATATTACTTTGTCTGTGTACAGATATCTGCTTGCATGGTCTGCATTTGTTTTGATAGTGAATAGCTCATGTGTTCTATGGTAAGGAGTTAAGCCAGTGGCAGTGTGTTATTCCAAATGGAGATCAAAACAATTAAATAAGATCTCTGCAAGGCTGTCTGGGGGACTTAAAATCTAAATGTAGAGAGGAGTTGTGTGAAATTAAGACCAAACTGATTAGAGCAGCTAGTATATTTCAGCTTTCTAATCCTGAATAAATAGAATTCCTGCTATAATCTCCCAAAGACTACATAACATGTTAATACACACACACACACACACACACAAAGATATACTCACTTGCCAAACAAGAAACATTTCCTGGAATCTTCTTCCAGTAATCACCTGCAGGATTTTTATCTGTGATGCCATACCGGCGGGCTACATCTCCATTTGGACAACGCGCCCATACAGTCTTCATGCTTATTACCAATTCACTTGCCTGAAGCCCTAAAAGCCAAGACATTTGAAGTACAAACCCACTGAAACAGCTTTGAGACGGATACTACGTATACTGTATTCAGAAGAAACTTATCATTAGAATAAATGAAATCAAAGCATAAAAACAAAACAAAAAAAGGTATCTTCATAATTTTTAATCTTCACAACTAAGAACTATATGTTGTTGTTGTTGTTGTTGTTGTTGTTGTTGTTGAGTGCCACAATTTAGGATGCTGGAAGAGGGAGTAGGTTTTGTTGCATGATCAGAAAAAATGTGTTACAAGGTTTTAAGTACATTAATTAAGATGGGGCCGAGCATTGACAATACTCAAGTTACAACCAAAGCATATATTTGTTAAGTCATTTTACCTGGAACCTGGTCCCAATTTGTGCCTACTGGCATTTCCTCTGTAATCCCAGTGCGCACATGAACATTCCATTTGTTGTCAATGGCCCATAGACTCTGATCATTAGGACTTGAGTACACACTGATCAAGTGGACTCCGGCTGCCTACAAAAATAAAACATATTGTTTGATGTTACAGATCCTATTTGAATTGGCAACTAACTGAAGGGAGAAAAGAAATAAATGGACAAACCCTGATCAAATTAGTCAATTCTGGAAAAAGAAAATCTCAACATCACTGAAATACTTAGTGATATGTCTACATATTCACCATGAATTGAATATCAATGGTGTTTCATAGGTTCAATTTCACCCCTCCACCAATAAGCATGCACAAATAGTAAAAGAGGAGAACATTGTTAGAAATTTCAACTGGTACAAAATAAAACTATGTTTAGGGAAATCAAGGGTCCAAAACATCGACCACAAATTTTGTGAAAGGTACATTACTTAAGGTGCTTTTCTAACCCAATCCAAAGGTTCTTTTATATGTATATACATTTATGAGAATAACAGCCATAAAATACAATCCAAAATATAGCAGTTAAATATGTTTCATACTTAGCAAAATAAATACATAGGATAATGTGTAAGTGAATAACATTTGTAGAAACTAAGAATATAACCATAAAATGTTAATATAAAATTAGTCCAATTAGCATATTATTAAATCTAGTCATATAGACCATCTATTGCTCCATCTTGCCAATTTGACATTTTTACCTATCTATTTCTAAAGAAGATATTGCTTGAATTTTAAGTAGGGCCTTCAGTCTTCAAAATCTTTCCAAATTTAGAATTCCTTTTCTGAATTTTAAAGTTTTAGTACTGCCCATTTATGTAAAGCTGATTAAAATTATTTTTACCACAATTAATGGAATGCATTGATCTCTATTTTTAAGATGCTGTTTTGTAATTTTTAGAAATTATTTGATGCATACTATTGTATAAATCACTATTTTAGAGTTATGAAGACTTTCCTGGAATAGTCCAGCATTGTTGAAACACAATTTTTACTAGCATGTCCATCTTATCTGAAAACCAACTAACTAAAAAAGTTGTTCTAGAAGGTTCTATGCATTTAATTAATGAAATTATGTTTATAATGCCTTCAATGGTATATAGAGTTTCATCAATGTTCTGGTTGGTCTCCATCGCCTTTTTTTCTGCATTACTACTGTTGTGGGAAAACCCAATGGAAAAGACAAGAGACAGCAACACAAAACAATAATTCTTACTTTAAGATTCAGAGGTTTATTTTGCTAATGATTTGGAACATAGCAAGCATAATAACACAACATCACTTACATTAATAACTCATTGCAATGAGGACCATATGGTATAGCAATTCCAAAAGGACAGCTATAGGCCAATGGCAAATCAATCAGGTCCAGACCCAACTCTTTATACCCTTTCCCGTTCTAAGACTGTAGTCAGATGGTCTGCTGACTTTTGCTGACCTTCTGCTGAACATAACTTTCCACATATATCCGTGTACATTGGAACCCGCATCCATCAGCTACTTTCAGTTCCCTATTCCTTACTGTTCCAGTCCTTATGTTCTAAATATACACAGAATTATCTACTTTACAATTTCTATTGCACAAAACTCAGCAGATTACAAATAGTATGTCCTTATTGAGAAACAGCATAAATTTCAAGTTAAAGCTTCAAATCACTTCTGTGGGGGCCTATTTCAGGTTTGTTCTAGCCCTATCTTATTATATGAGAAGGGGGCTATACTTTCATCTCCCACACTACTTTGCACAGAAAACCTGAAAAGGCCACATAAGCTTTCATGAACTTCATTCAACTGAGATTTCAGAGCTACAGGTAACCCTGACACCATTTTTTCCCCCCCTAGAACGGATATTCCCCTAGGTTTTAGTCTGGCACCTTTAACCACTATAACAAACTGGCTCTCTAATTATATTCTAGCAGAGATGAAATATATAGCTTGATCCAGTGGTGGGATTCAGGCAGTTCGCACCACTTCAGCAGAACCGGTAGCTAATTTTTTATTTCCCAGGCCAGAATGGACTTCCGGAAGCGGCATCCACACAGAGAACCGGTTGTTCACATATTTGAATCCCACCACTGGCTTGATTTGATAGTCCAAATTCAAATATGGATTTTCAATGTCCTTCATCACTAGGTGTTTTTTGCTGTGGACCATAAAGCTACGTTAAACCTTTATTTATTTATTGTATATGATAACAAAGGGACTAACATTAGAAAGCAGAATAGTTAAGTGGTACTTGCTATTCTAGCTACTCTTAAGTTCAAGTTCTGATTAATTCTACATTATCACTTAAATTATGTTTCCAAATAGCTAATCCCTACTTTTTAAATGCAAAGGAGCTTTAAAGGGGGGAAAAGTAAACAACCTATTTAATCCTTTTTTTTTAATCACAAAACAACTTAATCTCTCTTTTATAACTGAGAACCTGGATGAAAGCCACATGAGCAGAAGTTCAACTGTTTAAAAGGAATCCGACTGAAGGTTGCCAAGAATATAGCTGCCTTCTTGCAGTTTTCTACTTGCACCTGTCTATTCCAATTTTCACCTGTTCAGCAGAAAGAAATACATTATTATTTCATCCTTTAAAATATAGAAAACAGACCCAAAACAAAGGTCAGCAATTTTCTGAATGGAGGCTGCAATGCATTCCTCTGCATATGAGATAACCGGAATGTGGTAATTTTGGACCAGTTTTGAGGACCACATTAAGAGCCAGAATGGGAACTGTAACCCCCTGGGAAGTATCTTTCACATTTCCATACTTAAAACAGCTAAAATTTGTGCCACCAACATCCAGTAATAAAATAGCCACTAAAATGAACCATTATGCTACTGAGAACCTGGGGGAGGGTTGCAATTGATGTGCATAAAGAGCTCTGAGCTACAAGTTGTTTATAATAATAATAATAATAATAATAAAGTTGGAAGGGACCTTGGAGGTCATCGAGTCCAACCCCCTGCCCAGGCAGGAACCCTACACCATTTCAGACAAACGGCTGTCCAGTCTCTTCTTAAAAACTTCCAGTGTTGGAGCATTCACCACTTCTGGAGGCAGGTTGTTCCATTGGTTAATTGTTCTAACTGTCAGGA